TTTAAGATAGATTTAAAGATATTTTGGTAACACTTTACAATAAGGTTTCATATACCGGTAACTACATCAGTTAATATGAACTAAGAAGGAACAATAGCCTACTTCTAAAGCATTTATTAATCTTAGTTCATGTTAATTTCTATACTTACTACAACATTATTAAGAAAAAAAGTTGTATTTGTTAACATTAGTTAATGCACTGTACACCTTATTGTAAAGTGTTACCTCTTACATTTTTCCCTTGACTCATTTGACTTATTGTTAACATTTTTAATCTAATTTGATATGATGTAAATATCTTAAAAATGTACAATTTAGAATTTAGAATTCAGATGTCAGACTTACTCTTCTATTCAAGAGTATTTTTTTTGGTCTTATTCTACCAACAGATTTTTTTTTTCCCACCAGTTTTACCTAATCAAAAAAATACGTTTCGGGTGTGTAAAGAATTGTCTTTTGCAGTAATATTTTTAAATATTATTTTCTTAATATTATTCATTTAAAATAGCTATTTTCTATTGTAATATAAATGTATTTTATTCCTGTGATGCAAAGCTGAATTTTCAGCATCATTACTCCAGTCTTCAGTGTCACATGATCCTTCAGAAATGATGAATATTGATATAGCCCTAAATATGGAGCTCTTGATGGCTGATCACCTGTGTCTTCCCCTCTGAACTCTTCATCAATGAAGTAATGAGGGCTCTGCGTGGATGTGTGTGTTTACGCTGCTGTCTGAAGTCCATGTCCTGCGCTGTCTGGTGTCTACTCCACCCGCCCCACCTCTTCCTCTCATTGGGGGGAGAGGCTGTATTGTCTGGCGTGTGGATTGGTCGTCTGAATGGGCCTGAGTGCCTTTCCCAGGGGCTTAGTGTCTCTGCGAGGGGGTTGTGTATACAGTTACGCAGGCCATGGGAGATGATGTGTGCCCTGCTCCGGGGACTCGGCCTTTGTGCCAGTCTGAGAGAGTGAGATGGGCCATTTGAAAGGCTGGCAGTGTTTGGGGTGATGGGATTGGGTAATTCGTAACCCCATCTGCTTCAAAAGACTGTGAAGGTTAGCCAGCCCTCCCCATGATTCCTGCATCCCCAGCCACAACGTCCCACAACAATAACCCATATCCCAGAAAACCCACATTGTCCTGAAACAATTGTGCAACAGCGGAGCCTGGTCGTATTGTTTTGGGAGGGTATGTATGCGTATGTATTTTCAAGAGTAAACAAGGGAGTTTCAGGAGAGAAGTGTGTTATGATTGTGTGCCAAGATTCTTTCTGTCAGTGTTTCTCAGTCTTATTCAGTTTAGCCTTGTAGCCGTGTGAATGAAAGCTCACGGGGTCCCGTCTCACTGTCAGGAACGCAGACGAGTGTAATTCTCCTCTCACACGAGCTCTGTTTGAGGCATTTTCCTGTCTGGTCTTTTGCGCTCTCTCCTGCTCTTTTCTTTTTCTTTTTATTTGTCCTCAGGGTTCCTCAGTATCCATTCTTGTGTGTGGTGTGCTGAAAGAGAAAGAGTGCAGGCATGCAAATTTTGGCAATGCGAGAAAGTGTGTTGATTTCAAAATAAATGGTTCACCCAAAGTGAATGTTTTGGCATTATTTAATCAGCCTTAAGTTGTATTCTTTTATTTTATTCTTTTATAATATTTTCAAAAATGTTGGATACAATTTTACCATCATTGACCACTGATCAGGGGAAGATTTTTAGTGAAATTACAGAATTTTCTTCTGAATATTTACTGAATATTTATTTTTTATTTTTTTTCAGTTCAACTGCTGAAACCAATCATTATAAAGGTTAATACTGTCAATATAGCACAGATACTTCTATTAAATGGAAAGTTACATTTCTAGATTAAAAAATAATTATTAACATAACAGACTATCCAACTTGTATTTATTAATTTAATTAATTAAAAATTATAGAACATGATTTTGTATTATTATTATTATTATTACAACAAAAACAACAATATATTATTATTTTATTTACACAACAACAAATAAATAAATAATAATAATAATATTTTTTTATTGAGGCATAAAGAAGATGCATATTTCAATACTGCACTGCTCTGTCTGTTTGAATCTAGTGTTCAGATGAGTGGATGGAGAAATAGTTCCTCTCCTACACAACTATTTGCGAACGCAATTCATTTCTTGTTTTTTTTTCATTTTGATCCTCTTCCAACATCAGTATCAGTCGGAAGTATTGATATTTCAAGATTGTATGGCTGCAGAAGATTTGGCATATAGCAAACACTTCATATGGATACTTTTATGGTGCTGATTATTGGTCCTTGACAGTTTTTTCAGAAATGTTCCTTTTGTTTTACACAAAATCAAGGGAAACATCATTCACGCTTAAAATAACATGAGGGTGAGTAGATGATGACAGAAATGTCATTTCTTTATTAGTTTCTTTAATTCCTGGCTTTTCAAACGGATCTGTCCACATAAGCTGGTGCCGGACTGCATGTATATGTCTGTGTGTGAAGATTGTGATGGTATCATCCAGGATCTGTTAAAGACACACAGATCTCAGACTGGGGCTCCTATCCGGCGCATTGATTGTTTATGGCTAATTAGATTAGGCTAATCACATTAAGTTGGTGCCGAGGCTCGTCCTGACGGAGGAATAGAAATGAGACTGTCATTGTTGGCACTTACCCGTCAATGTCACACTGTCCCGTGGAGTTTCATTCCGGTGAGGTCTGCACATATAGCATCCTTGTCCAAATGAAATAAAACCTCGAGCAGAATTCTAGCTTTGCTTTGCATTGTTGTGGATCATAAAGACATGGTCAAAATGTTATAGAATTAAGATGAAATAATAGGCCAATTCAGATGCAGTATAGGCACAGACTCATGTTTACTGTGGCCTTTTTTCCTGAACTAGTTTCAGCCTATAGATGCAGATGTTGACTTTGAGGGGGTCTGTATATACAGTCATTTCTTCTATACAGTTCTTCTGATCAATGGATCAGTATTTTCTTTTTTCAGACATGTATTTTTACAGCATCTGGCGTTTGCTAAGCTCCTCCCCTTTAGTAACTGTTGCTCACTCTGACAAACTTTACAGAATGAAGACACTTGGGAGTTTGTTGTCCAAATGTCAGAAAACACTGCAGCACCGGTGTCAGCTGAAGTTCCCTGTCCTCTCTCTGTGCTGCCCCGTCAGCATCACACATATGAGACACGTGCATATCAGATCCCTGCCAGTCGAAGGAGAGCGCCGCCTACATGATGCTTAAATCTGCTCATTCATTCATTCATTCATTCATTCATTCATTCATTCATTCATTCATTCATTCATTCATTCATTCATTCATTCATTCATTCATTCATTCATTCATTCATTCATTCATTCATTCATTCTCCTTTAAATTAATTTTTATTTAATTATTTTAAGTATCGCACCCATTTTTTCTGAAATTATTCATCCTATTCAACCCTATATGTTCCATCTAAAACATCTTATGCATTTTATTTGATCTCATCCTTGGACTGTACCAGTGTTATGTATGATTGATATACACTGTAGGATTTTATCCATCCATCCATCCATCCATCCATCCATCCATCCATCCATCCATCCATCCATCCATCCATCCATCCATCCATCCATCCATCCATCCATCCATCCATCCATCCATCCATCCATCCATCCATCCATCCATCCATCCATCCATCCATCCATCCATCCATCCATCCATCCATCCATCCATCCATCCATCCATCCATCCATCCAAATTTGGTTAAAGTTTTATTTTTTTTATTCGTTTTTTCCTGTCTATATATATATATTTTAATTTTAGTTATTTTAGTACATCTGTTTTTTTATTTTTTTATTCATTTTTTCCTGTCTATATATATATATATATATATATATATATATATTAATTTTAGTTATTTTAGTACATCAAGTTAAATATATGAAAATGAGAAATATTGCCTTGGCAACTAGCTGAAATTTTATTTTTTGTTTTATAATTATTATTATTTTTTTTAAAGTTAACTATAATAAACCTGAAATGTACTGCTATTTTTCAATTTTGTTTTATAATTTAATTTGTTGTAATTTTATTTTATTTTATTTATTTATTTTATTGTTTTAGAAAGTTAACGATAATAACCCTGAAATGTGTTGCTATTTAAAAAAAAAAAAGATTAAATCATAAAGTATGGTAACTTGTTGTACATTGTTTTTTACTGCATTTTAGATTGGATTCTCTATGAATCCAGATGCACAGCGTAACATTGATTACTTAACTTGTGCCATCAGTTTAAGGGTATTGCTCATCTTAGACATCAACATCATGCACATTACAACTAATTCATTTGTTTCACTTTTTTTTACCACCCTCTTGTTTCAAATCTCCTGCTTAACACTTAAACATGAAATGCAGGCAGGAAAAAGAAACGTCAGACGTGGTTATGGATAATGACACCATGAAGGCCTAAAACAGGGGGTCCGTTCAGGGAAGCACAGCTCAGATCCAAATGTTCAGTTCCAGCTTACATAACACACCTGCAGCGGCCCAAATCCTGTCCTGTCTCTCTTGTTTTTGGATGGCCCCTCTCTCCCCTCTCGCTCCTACTGAGGGTGAAGCACGGGGGCCTCAGTCATACCTAAACGCAGCTGCAACATTCCCAAATAAGGTTCTCCGTTTCATCGAGACGGTCTGGGTTCAATTTTCACTTTAGAGAAATAAGAACAAGGCGATCTCGACATTTCGTTTTTTCCTAGATAAGCTGATTCTCTTATGCGTGCGCACACTAAGAAAATAAATATACATGTAATTGACTGGATAAGATTAAGCACTGGGCGAAATAATGGTTATTGCTAGAAATATGTCAACTGTTAATGTTTTTGATATTTGGTATTCTGTTTTTTTATTTGAAATGATGGTTCCTTTGATTGTAACATCACCCTTTATGGTTAAACATCACCTATTTTTTTTTCCGTCTCAATAATTGTCCTTGTTTCTCTCCCACTGCAGCCTGAAGAGTTTGAAGCCGTCCACTCCCACACCTTCCGGCTGAAGACGTTCAAGAAGGGGAAGCACTGTGGCGTGTGCAAGCAGACTGTGAACAATGAGGGTCTCATCTGCAGAGGTCAGTCCAGGGGAGGGTGGCCCGCCTGTGGGGTGTCTTGCACTAGGGACATCTGTCCGTCCCAGCATCTGATGAGAGTTAATGGAAAAAGGTCAAGATGTGTGTGAGGGTGTCAGCTGCTCCCAGTGACCAGTCAGCCACTTCCTCTAATGAAACGTAATCATTAACCCCATTAGGCCACTGAGGGAGAGTGTGTGGCGTTACAGGCAGCGCTTCTACCACACAACGCCTGTTGGCCCCTGGAGATGACATCATCGCCTGTGTGACTTTAGGCGCAGAACAGAGTGAAAGAGCCACACAAGTTTCCCATTAAGACTGGATGCTTGGGGCGGATATTCCGCGATTCACCTGTTTTGAGTCCCGCTGTGGTGAAGATTCAGCCAGAGTGGAATGTCAGACTCTATCATGGGAAGTCTAGAAGTTAAAGCCTGGTTTATGTTTGCACTAACGTCAGGGTCTTCGCCATCATCAGGGCTGTTTCTGATCTAGAAGGGGCCTCTGTTAACAAGTTAACATAATGACGCTGCATTTTTGCTATTCATTTGTCTTAATTGTATTTATATGGCTGAATATTAGAATAAGGAAGATGGAGTTTTATCAAATGTTATCAGAAAGTCGTCATCAGAAGTACAAATATTTAGTGCATGTTGAAAATGTATACTTTTTAAATGAATGACAACACCAGCAAAATAACTAGTGATTTAGTAAAATAGTGACGCTTTCCACATCACTAAAAAAATAAAAATAAAAATCTGAAAGACTTGTTTCAGAAACGAAGGTAAAGTGTCTCTGGTTCTCGAGCTCCTATGAAATATTTTGAATAATCATCATTATTTTAATCAAATACATCAATCGTTATCTCATTAGTCTTATATCTTATATGAAATTCAATTTAACTGTAAATAGTTTAAAATATACTGGCAATGTCATTAAACCCTTTATTTTGATCACACAATTTTAGGGCAAGATCTGGCTAATGCATATTTATGTAACAGACAGGCAATTTAATCCATAAAATGCTGCAAAAGTAATCTAAATAACTTAATATAGACTGTGTCTAATATGTTAATTGTACATTTATTGTTAATATAATAATACCTCTTGAGATTAATATTATTTACAAATACCAACAGGGACCAATATGGATCTCATATAGGGCACCAAAATGGCCAAAAATGGCCCTGGTCATCGCGGTGCGTTCGGCAGTATCTTCATTTCTGTCAGTGTGAGCAAAAATATTTATTTTTCCACAGACAGACGGGCAGTTTTGTTGAACCACGCAGTGCAGACTTTCTTCTGATGAATAGTTATAGAGTTAGGCTCATATAGGGCCAACGGTAATGGTAAAATGTGTTCAGGCTTGTAACTATAAAGGCAGTATTCGTCTGGTTTGCTGGGGTTCTGGCAAACCAGGTCTCCATTTCTCCACTTCGCCGCTTTATTATCATCTGTTACATAAAACCGAGCAGTGCCAGCAGAAACTCAAGTATCAAGAGAAAGGGATTTGCTGTTAAACTTTTGTCAGAGACGTCTGATGCTCTCCAACTGTAGAAATCCTCAGATTCACCTCCAGAGTAAGTCCTGCGCAAGACATGGCATGTTTCAGGTTCAATACACATTAAAGTTTAAATTTAAAATAATTTTAAAATAAAGAAAGACTTTAAGCAAGAGCTACAGCGTTCTGGCAAAAGTCAAATTACTTACTGGTGCCTTTGGTGTGTTCATATGTAAATTGCTTGAGCTTATTTTGTCCATTAGATTGAAAGATCTGAAAAAAAAGCCCACACATTTACCCACCCATAGACACTCTCCTCGAAGAAATCAGGACAGAAGTGGTTGAAAGTGGACAAAAGAGACAGATTAAGACACCAGGTGTAAATGGGAATGTCTCCCTCGTCTACTTGTGATCCGATCGACCAAAACACATCTTAATACCAGGTGTAAACAGGGCCTTAGATTCTTGTGCAGATCTCGGTCAATGTTTTCCACTCAGTGTGATAGATCTGTCATTGTCACGTGTCTCTGGGGAGTTTGTCCCATCTGAGTGGTATTGAGTCATTGAGTTAGAGACGGTTAAGACTATTAGCTGATTGTGTGAGCTGTTAAACAGCCACTTTCTCCAGTGCATGTCCATCACAACACAAAGGGGTGAGACCTCCTTAGTGAACTCTAATGGCTGTGGGCTTTGAGATGGAAAGGACAGGACAGAGGTTTATGGTCCTCTTTGTGGCTGGATTGGCTCATGGTTGATGCTTTGAATAGCCATCAAATGACTTTATGTCACAAATATGAAGTGATGGAATGCAGAATCTTTACACGCATTAGTGATGCATCAAAATCTCGTCAACCAAAAACATTGATTTCTCGTTTTTAATTAATCTTCATTTTGATTTAACAAGCTGTATTCAGTTGATGCATGAACACAACTTTAATCGCAAAAGGTTTTATGCTTTGTTAAAGGAATAGTTCACCCAAAAAACTATCCCATAATTTATAATTT